TTTAAGGTTTTAAACCCTAAACCCTAAACCCTAAACGTTTATACAGAAGTTGTCCTCCTTGCAAGAAGACATCGCGGCCGCGTAAGGTACTGGAGACTTCGACTCTGACTGCGCAGCCGTGGAAGTCGACCCACGAGTTCGAGCGCCTCTAGGGTTTAGGGTTTAGGGTTTAGTATTTAGGGTTTAGGGTTTAGGGTTTATTATTTAGGGTTTAGGGTTTAGGGTTTAGGGTTTAGGGTACGATTAGTTCCCCGGCTGAGGCCCTGTGGCCATTACCCTAAGGGTCCAAAGGACCCAATAATCAGGGTTTAGGGTTTAGGGTTTAGGGAGAGTCATATGATTATTATAGGTACTTGGACCCTTGGGGTTACAGCATGCAAAGCACTTTGCATGTCACAGCCTGGGTTAATCCACAGGCACTTCACTGTCTGATACGCGCGTCCATCTCATAACCCTAAACCCTAAACCCTAAACCCTAAACCCTAAACCCTAAACCCTAAACCCTAAATCCTAAACCCTAAACCCTAAACCCTAATGATGCAAGCAGTCACATTCTAAGCTCGCTCCTAGGGCTACTAGGGCTACGACGAGGCTCATGGGAAGCAGCAGGTCCCCATCTAGTGTGATGATAGGGGCATAGGGTTTAGGGTTTAGGGTCTTGATAGCCTGGTGCATGACTCTTCAGCAACTTTCCACGCGAAAACGCGAGTAGTCGCCAGACGTTTCATGAATTGAAAGACCATCTTTTGCTGTGAGTATGGGGCAGCCTGCAGAATTACACATATTATGCCGCAGGTTTCCTGCATCGAAGTATCCTATACTGTAACCGCAGTATAACAGCTGCCCCAACAACCAACAAGAAACTTCTCACACCATCCCCCTTTTCACAAGGGAACCTACATCGGAGCCCTGCTGAACCCCAAATGTTACCCCTCAATAGGCCACAGCCCCTAGATTGAAGCCTACACCCTAAACCTACACAAATCTAAACCGTTATAGGGGCCTCCATAATTACCCATACTCTTGTTTGGGGGTTCCTTAGTGGAGTTTTGGTAAAATAGGCCCCCAAACCCTATTCTAATCATGAAGGCCCCTAAACCCTAAACCCCTATAGTAGCCCTTGCAGAACCCCAAAAGGAACCTTAAAGGAACCCCCCAAAACCCTATTATAATTATTAAGGCCCCTGCATGACACCCTCAGCCATGAATGGGGTTTTCTATTTCAGGATCGCCTTTAGGCTTCCTGTTATGGAATTAAGGTTTGGGTTTAGGGTTTAGGGTTTAGGGTTTAGGGTTTAGGGTTTAGGGTTTAGGGTTTAGGGTTTAGGTTTTAGGGTTTAGGGTTTAGGGTTTAGGGTTTGGGTTGGGCATTAAGCCCTTAGCCCTGAAGCTCACATTGTTCAGCCCTACAGTAGAAGCCCATAAGATGGAAACCCAGTAGCCTCAGTCCTGAACAAAGCTGTATTGGAAATCCCAGCACGAATTGTCCTTCATCCGGTTTCCAATTTTTTTCGGGGTTTACTATAAACCGTTGATACACCCTAAACCCTAAACCCTAAACCCTAAATCCTGATCCTTACATCCTACACCCTAAACCAAAACAGCCTGAACCCTAAATTACAAAGCTGTATGATGCGTTTAGGCGCTGGCGCAGCGGCCAGCGATCTTCCGTTTAGCTGCAAGGAGCTCTGGTTATAAGGAACCTACCGCGGGAGGGGGGTGTTATACTTGGAGGGTCGGGGGACTTAGTAAGTAAGTAATAAGTAGACGTATAAGTGACCTAAAAGGGGCTCGAATTGGGGTTAATGTTAGGGTCCCTTTAATAAACCCCCCCCCCCGAGGGCGTTTTGCGCGGGGGTCTCTTGGGGCAGGGTTTGGGGGGGGGGG